GGGGCTGGTTTTGCGATCTCTACATTTCACAGAAATTTAATTTGTTTAATAGAAGCTAAATTTTAATATGACAACACGAAATGCCTTCCAAAATTGTATACGATTAGATAGAATATTGTACTTTACCGTGTATAATGCTTTCAGTTCTGAAATTTTTGTCACGATTTGTATAAATATGGAAATTAATTAATCTATGAAAACTGTAAGAGATCGCAAAATAGGTTATGAACTTTTATTGTTCAACTAACCAGTTTGTAAAGCTAAACACAAAACTATTAGAAGCTCTATTAATTTGTATGAGAAAGTTTTCTGACCTAAGTTGTTCACTTTTAATCGGCTTCGTTTATACTGTACACATTTTTTAAATATTTGTATAATTTTAATTTATAAAAATTAAACCGACTTTATACCTGTCAACATAATTTACCTAGTACTCGTATCTATATGTGCCCAGAAATGCCTGGATATCTGAATAACTAATCAACCGATTTTGAAATTTGGAGTGTACCCTAAGTTGGAAGATACCATTTTAGTTTTTGAGGAATTTCTGGACTAACATCCAGTTACGAAATAGCACACGTTGTTAAAAGCCTAACAAATAGATCATCGTACTCAAACATTAAACAATTCCTCCCTTTTTGAAGCCGGTTAAAAATACGTTTCCGTTTAGTAAAATCAAGTATGGATGGATTTGATTGTTAAATGTGGACATTTTCATAATGTTGATAAACTTAATTTCTTCTGTAAATTATAAAAAAAGTCAATCACGTCAGTATTTTGTTTTTGTAGAATTATTTTAACGATAAATCAGTGTTAGTTTAGTATTGTGTTAATTAAGTTTTTGTAACAATTAATACTCATAGGATTTTGCGAGTCAGAAATATTTAGATAAGTAACAAATTGTAATTTTCGGAAAAAGGGTAATAAATAGTGACTAAATTCTGAGCCAAATAATTGTAACTGTATTTTATCTATAATGTAGTAACGATATTATTAAAGCTTTCTTACCTGTTCATTAATCAAAGATGTTAAATATTTTGAACGGGTGTAATTTTGGTTGTCTATATAATATAGAACATTATTTCATAAAAAAAGTCGCGCAAATTACCTTTTCATACATCGAAAATTCATTTAATAAATTCTCAGGTATTGAATTATCTTACAATAAGTAAGTAGTTGGAATAGTCTGGCGCAAGTTGCAATGAGAAAATACCTTGGGATTTATTATTCTCTGTACCGATCTTTTTACACATTAAATATTTTTTTTATATAACACTCGCTTATTTATGTGCCCTGAAACCGATATACTTAAAATCAATGATATCATCTGAAAAAGTATTATTAAAATAGGTTGTAATATTAGAAGGAATATGTTTTAATTAGTTACTCAACAGATGGCGTTTGTGCAATAAAGCTTAAAATGGAGAATAGAAAATGTTTTTATTTATAATTTCCTTGTTCGTTTGACTTAGTCTAAATTAAAAGCTAAATATATTTATTAAGCAGACCAACCCAATTATATTATGTTAATATTTTACATTATAAAATTAAACTCCGAAACTTCAATAAAAAAATATCGAGTTATGACTCATTTATTATAATGCTATGGTTGAAATGCTAAAAATAAAATCTTCTTAATCTTGTTTCTGATTCCAATCAGATATAAAGGAAAAAGAGCTTTGGAATTTACGATGGATTATATCTTGTATGGATCCTATAATATACATACTGCTTTAAGTATATGTGTTAGACCATAGATAGTAATACATAGTAACACCTTAAAGTTATTTTTATTAATTTGTAATTCTCCATTAAGATCAAGTTTGAGTTAAGTCGTTGATTTTCATACTTTTCACATATTATTATAGTTTAAAGCTAAGCTTTTTTTCTGTACTTAAAGTGTGCGAATTAAGAGTTGAATATTTAACAAATTTCTGATGTATTAAAGAAACCACCACATTATAGCTTTGTTAAAATAAGTCTTTAGTGGAAAATATTTAAAGTTGTAAATTGTTATTTACTATAGAAGATTAGTCTGAGCGTAGAAATAATGGAAATAGTTGAGATGGAAATAAAATAGTTTTTCATTAAAAGAAAGAGTTTTATTGGAAAAAAAGTATCTAACATCGAAAACTATACGCCGCTGAGACATTAAATATTTTCACCAAAACCTTATAAACAAGTATGTAATTTAAAAATTATAAAATACAGAAATTTATAAAACACACTACTAAAAGCATAAAAAGCGACCTCTATTTTTTCATTACCATATTTTGTAAATATCTGCGCGCCCTCTGTTGTAGTGCATTAGAATTTCGTAAACATTTTCGTTTCAAGACATATTAAATTTAGAAGCATAAAGTATAACTTAAATTAGTAATGTCAAATTTGTATAGATGGCAGCAGTTATTGTTTTATAACCATGTTTTATATAATTACTTCAGTAATGTATCTTGGGTTGAATGTTTTATCTTTGGAACTTTAAAAAAATACTTATTCTATTCGTTATGAATTTCAAATTAAATACTGATTATCGAAATATGTATTTAAGAAAGTGAAAGTAATTTATTAACATGTCATATAATATGTATATGTATCGTTTTGTTTCAAGTGCTGTGTGTTAATGGCGAAATTGACTATTATGTCGATATCTTAGTAATTTTACAAGACAAAATAATTATTTTTGTTATAACAATACACATTATATTATTGTAAGAAGAAAGTACCTAGGTATCCATTGCTACTACCACTTTTAGGTAATTAATACAATAATTGTTATTTAGTTAAACACAATATATCTTAAGCTATTATTATTGTTGCAACTAAGAATTCCTATACGTGACTTCTGCGAATCCGGTGTTCATGGGCGGTATCATTTAACATCATAATATTAGCTTCCTTTTTTTGCCTGCTAAGTATTAAAAGAAAGGGTGCGTGTTACTTTTTTTATGAAATGCGCGTAAGAAGGTATACTTCTTTGGCATTATTAAAAATAGTTTTTGATTGCATGCAAAAATTAATTACAATTAAATAATCAAAGACTGGAAAAGGAGTCATTATAGTCAATAAAGTTCAGTTTACATTTGAAAAATTTAAGTAAATAAATATTTATTATTATTCTCTTACATTAAGTGTAACATAAATTCTATTATTATTCGAATTTTGTTTTTAAATTATGTCCAATGCCGTAGCATCTTCCGTGGGCAACTTCATTCTGATAATTTTGTGTCACGGTGCGCGCGCATTGTAAAATTTCACAGTTCACTCTCATCAATTTTTCATAACGCGCCTAAAGAAGTATAACTTCAAGAAGAGTATTCTGTAATCTTATTTTTGAGAAATATAGGAAATCCACTCGATTCGGTAACTCATACAAAACATATTAGAATCGCGTGAAAATTAAGAGCAACATCGTTATTCCAAAGTAAATGTAGGTTTGACCACAACCAACGCTAATCGGACGCTAAGGGTCTGTGGGGCAGACACACGACCCCAGGGGGCGCAAATTGCGCGCGATAAATTAGCCCTTCCTATCTTCATTACCCGACAACCTATTTGTTTTTACAATACACCTGTATGTCTTTATAAAATTACGAGCAATGATTGATTTAAGGGGTTTTTGAATATGAATTATCTGAAGCGCTAGGATACATATGTAATGTAATTTTTGTATGTAGCATAATTTCGCTTGTATTGTTAATAAACGCTTGTATCAAATAATATTAACAGTGTCTACGATTTATATAGTGTAAAGGAAACTTCACAACATCATATGCCGATGCGTTCTAAATGTAACAATGAAAAATTTAATTATGTAATTGGACGTCACATCTTTACTTCGCAACGCGCGAAAACACACTAGAGGTCGGCGCGGCGTCGGCGCAGCTTAATCTATTAAAGTATTAAACGTCGCTAATATGTATATAATTTATATGAATATGTGAAATACAAAATATCGTTAATTCATTAACATAGTTATTTTATTTTCATGTAAGTGAACTTGTAATCTAAGGTCCATATTCAATTGTCGAGTAGTTCAAGAATACGGGCATAAGTTACGTTAAGTTACCATCAGATATAACTGATATTGATACTATTTATTTTATAGAACAGGGGCAAACGGAGGCTCATCTAATCTTAAGTACCACGGTCACTCTCAATACCAGAGCTCACGAGTTGCCGGCCTTTTAGGAATTTGTACGCTCTTTTCTTGAAGTCCTAAGTCGAATTGGTTCGAAAATAGTTCAATGTGTAGCTGGTTCCATCTTAGACACATTATGTTTATAGTTTAATTAAAAAATCAACCGTCCAGATTAAGCGTTAAAGACGCTTAATGAAAAAGGCATATTGAAAAAACACACATTTAACTTATACACACATTAAAAATATATTACAAAAGCTTAAGACGTGAAATCAATTATATCACAAAGCAAACATCTGCCGGGTCGCCAGTTCGATCGCCGTTGACAAATTGTGACTAATATAACACGGCCTGTTTAACTGACATCTGCAATTTTAAAGCTCATTCGTTCGGAAGTGATTTTATTGGTTGGCTCATACAAGCTAATTGACTGTTATAATTGTGATAAAATATAGCATGATGGGGTATGTGTGAAATCGTAGTTTATTATGGGGCAGTTATATTTTAGTGAAGATATCTCTTTCGACTTATGCGATGTGTAATTTTTTAACGGTTTTACCGTTTCGCACTGTCAAACACCGATGAAATGCAATTATCGAAAAAAATTCGCCTAAAAAATAAAAAATCGAAAGAACCCACCTTTAAGCACTCAACTAAAAAGGAAAATCATGCGCTCATGTTAGGCTGAAAATGGATGAAAAAAAAATATGTATTATTGTGAAAAAGCGTGGGGCGCTCTGTGCCATATTTTTCGCCTATCTAGCAACCCGTTCACGTTCCGTACGACAACCGTTCTGACGACACAATGGACCTCATGTTGGCGTAAAGGCTACTGTCTATTATATAGTATATATATAGG